GGACTTTGCAAGTTAGTAAATGGACTGATCAAATAGGCACACAAACAACTTGTGATAGTAAACAAAAGGGAGCCAAGATAGAGGGATTAAACAGTGAACAACATATTTAACATATACCAGGAGAACAGGAGAGGCAAGTGCTTTTTAGGCAAAACACCTGTGGTACCTGGGTGTGGTGGAACATGCCTGTAACCCCAGCACTCAAGAGGCTGAGGCAGGAGGATCATTGTGAGTTTGAGGCCAGCCTGGGCTACAAAGTGAGCTCAAGGCCAGCCTGAACTGCATAGTGAGACCCTGTCTCGAGACGACAAACAAACAAACAAACAAAAACACCTGTAGTTTAAAAAAGACCACATTGAGGAAATACAACACACAAAAAGAATGATAGACAAATTAAATGCTGAAAAAGAATGAAGAGGGTACTTATGGCTAAAAATCTTTAAAATTACCAAAAATCTCCCAACAGGGAAAATGCAGGAACATAATAACCTCATGCAGTAGGCATGTAGTAGATTTTTTATGTTCTTTTCCCTGTTAAGACAAAAAGGAAAACAGAATTTGTTCACTTACAATTAATATATTTTATGCCTGACAATCCAAAGCAGCACATATCTCTTCTGTTGAAAGACAGATAGTGATTGTATTGCCCCCAATTTTTTTTTCAACCCATAAAGTAACCTTGTAGCATCCATGGAAATTTTTAGTTTTATCCCATCTGTCTACCTTGGTACATCTTGAGGCTCAAGCACTCCACATACTGAATCCTAGTGAAGATGACGTCACGGAAGAGATCGAGTCCAAAATTCATGTACTCAAGTTATTCTTGAACTTTGCTCACTTAGCTGGCCAGAAAAATGATCAGTACGTCCCCTAATAGGCAGCAATAGGCCTCTGTATATGTGAACAGAAGGGAATCCCTTGTGAATCTGTGCTTACTTCACTGCAGGTGGAGAACAGGACCCTGTAAGCAATTGGAAACTTGCATCATGGTCACAGGCTGTCATCCAGCTGACCCTTTAGAACTGTATTTCAGGTCTTTAACAAAGCATTTATCTACCATGTGAAACATTATTTTTAAATATGCAGCCTTTTTCCTCTATTCATACATATCTTATCATGCAATTTTCAAAATGCTGGGAAAGTCTTCTAATTTTATACATCACTTGCATCTTATGATGTGCTCTCTAACAAATGTTAAAATACTGCACAGACCTCCCATGAACTACTCTTTCATAGTCAAACTGACCACCCTTCATTTTCATGATTCTTTGCAATCAATAATCTGTTCTTCAAATTTATAATTTTATCATCACAAGAATGTTATAAACATAGAATTATGCAGATGGGACCTTTGGAGGTAGATTTTATTTTTTACTTTATCATACTTTTGCATTGTCTGAGAATGTTTTTACTTTTCATTTATTCTTAAAAGATAATTTTGCTATGCACAGAACTTGGAAATAACAGTTCTTTTCTTTTTTTTAAAGAATGAATTTTAGGAACAACGGAGGTTAAGAGCAGAATATATTTGTTGAGGGAAAAACAGCTTATGTCCAAGAGAGAGACAGAAGGGGATCCGAGTGGGTTGCCCTGTTTTCTTTTAGCACTTGAAAAATATTGTGTTCTTTTTCCTCTGGCCTTCATGGTTTTTGAGGAGAAATCTGTCAGGCTAATTGTTTTTCCTTTGTAGGCAAAGTGTTCTTTCTTATTGACTTCAAGAATGTTTTAAAAATATTTTTCCTGAAATTTGGTATTATCTGTCTTGGGGGGTTAGCTCAGGTCCTTGAATGTATAGCGGTATATTTTTACCAATTTGGAGGAATTTCAGCCATACCTTTTTTCAATAATTTCTCAACCACACCATTTTTTCTTTCTGGAACTCCAATTACATGCAAGTTAGATCTTTTTAAAATGTGTTTATTAGTATATGCTTGTGATACACAATGTCTACTTTTGTCATGAGTATTTGGTACATATATGTGACACATCCTAACCCTTTCGTTCCCATCCTTTCTTCTTCACTCCGTCTCGATCCTCTTACCATAGGTAGTAGCTCTGTCTCTCTGTTTCCTTTTATTTATCTTTTATTTTACTTTCTTTATACTTTGGGTTGTTAATATGAGGGAAACCATAAGGCATTTAAACTTGTGTGTCTGATTTACTTCACTTAACATTATGTTCTCAAGGTGCAACCATTTTCCTACAGATGGTTCAACTTTAACCTTTTAAAAAACAAAGTAGTATTCCATTGTGTATAAGTATCAGGTTTTCTTTATCTATTTGTCTGCTAAGGGGTGTATAGCCTGCTTCCAAGGTTTACCTATTACACATTGTGTTGCTAAAAATTGGCATGCATGAATCACTATAATATATCTCTGACTCTTATAGTTAGATACCTAGTATGGGAATAGCTGGGTGGAATGGAATTTCTACTTTTAATTTTTGAGGAAACTCCATACTGATTTCCATAGTAGTTTTACCAGTTTACATTCCCAGCAAGAACATAGATATGTTCCATTTGCGCCACAGCCTTGCTAATATGTGCTATTGGTTGATTTCTTGTTTATTGCTGGTTTTTCTAGAGTAAAATGAAATCTTAGCCTTGCTTTAATTTGCATTTCTCATTTTTCTATGAACCATTCATATTTCTTCTGAGCAGTGAATTCTTCTCTTTTTTTTTCTCTGTATTGGTCAGACGGAGGGGGTTTTTGTCATTTGTGGTCTTTTTCTTTTTTTTCCCGCTCCACTAAGACCACCAAGTAACTTTTAAAATTTTTAGTTATTTCTGTATTTATCTTAAATCTTTCATTTGCTTCTGCCTTATATCTTCTGTTTTTTGTTTTGTTACTTTGTTTCTGATTTTGTTTGCTCATCCTTTCCATTCAAAACTTTTTTCAAGCATGTTCATAATTCTTCGTTGAAGTAATTTTATGTTGACTACTTTAAAACTCCTGTCATATGATTCCAGTGTCTGTGTCATCTCCATGCTGGTCACATTGTTTTTATTTCATTTCAAGTTTAGATATACTTCACACTTGGTAGGAGTGATTTTCAGCTTGTTCTGGATATCTTTCACTTGTATTATGAGGTTCTGGATCTTACTTAAATCTGTTTCAGGAAATGAGCTTAGTGCCCATTATTGTCAATGGGTCTGGAGTTCCTAATTTACTAGTCATTGAAAGGTATAATACCCACTAGAAGTTGCTAGTTTCTAGGCGGGGGCTTTTCCAAAAATTGGCCAATAAATGTATCTTTATTTATGGGATGCCTTGTGGTGTTTTTATGACATGTTCAAATTAAGTGAAGCATATCACCCTCTTTGAACACTTGTAACAAAAACACTGAAGTTGCCTTCTTCTGGCTTTTAAAAAGAATATACAACATATTGTCATTATTTATACTCACCCAGCTATGTAATAGAACACAGAAAGATGAGATTTCATTCCATTAGAGAATCTACAAACATTTAATTTATAGAAATTGAAAACAAAATGGTAATTACAAGAGGTTGAGGAGAATAGGAAGAAGGAAGGGACAGGGAGGATTGGTTAGTGAGTACAAAGGCATACTGGATATGTATATGCATCACCTAAATTATTTCTCAGATAAAGTCATTTGTGTATGTGTATGTATATTTTACCAGTGGAGCTTTCTTAAGGTCACAAAGTTAGTAAAATCCAAGATTCAGTGGAACTTTTGCTGTAAGTATAGAACTTTCCAGCAGTTTCGTAAATGATTAAAACACCATTAAATCAATTTAATGGGTACCAAATATTTTTAAATAAATGAGATGATATTTTAAAAATCAGCAGGCATTCATATAGGAAGGGAAAAATTAGTAAAACAATATTTTATTTCTTTTGTACATACATTTATTAACCTATTATGTATACTGAATTTCAATGGTTTAAATATTTTCCCTAATGTAACTGACAGAGAAATCTAAAGTTATTGTGTTAAGCGACCCCTTTGAGCTATTTCTTACGAGACTTAATCTAGATGATATTGTATACTGTACCAACAGGGCTGCGATTTTCAGGAAAATGCATGATCCTTCAAAAATACAATTTATTTTTAAAGTCCCACATTTGAAGTGCATAATTTCTTGATTAGAAGAGAAAGAACATGTATGTATGACAAAAATCCATGCTAAATCTTCATGTAATGCTTGGTATCCATAATTTCTCTGTGCATGTATGTATCTCTTATAAACATTGTAGTTTTTTAAACTACATACCATACAACTAAAAAACAAGGTGAAATTCCAATCAGTTTCATGATAAAATGAGAATTTAACACTTGAAGTGTAAAAAAAGACAATAAATTCTAGGGGTAGAGAGGTCAGATATTTTTGTTGCGCAGATATACTTCAGATCTGGGACTTATCACTAAGAATCCTTGGCAAATGATTCTAATACTCAGTATCATACTTGTAAAATAATAATAGTAGAACCTCACAAGTGGGTCATGATGTTGGGAGTACAATGGTGCATCTTTCTTCATATCTATATCTATCATCTGTCTAATATGTGCATGGTGACTAACCAAGTGCTTGCCTTTCCAGGAAATACCTAGCAACTTTTAACTATAAGGATATTAGTTCTGAAGTAAGACATTTGCAGAAACAAACACTTTCATGGCAATACTAAACTATTATTGGAAGGAAATTCATAAATTGCACTTTTTTCATAATACATTAAATGATGAATCAACAAAGCTAATTTCACATAGATGGAAAAGAAAAACCATCGTATTTTCCCACTATTTGTCTCTTTATATTTAAATGGCTGTGTAACCAGTTCTATGTAACCCAGATCTCTCTATAATCTAATTCAAGTTTAATTGACATAACATTGTAGAAGCCAAAGCTAAAAAATTATACATAATTATAATTATATAATAATACATAATTGCAAGTGCTGATGTTCCTATGCAGGGTGTTTTGAAAATGACTCAGACACCTGAGCATATCTTTGACAAAAGTGCTCTTGATTTTACAGGACCACTTGGAACCACCTCTGTTCCCTATCCAGAAAGGCTCCCTCAGTCTTCTGAGGCAGAAATGGGAATCCAGCGATCACCCGAGAAGTGAAAGTTGTCCTGGCGGCAGTCACTCCAGGCTCCTTCAGCCTCTGGAAAACAAACTGCTGGAGCCTGACTTAGAGGTTCACTCAGCACCTGAGGCTCCCCACCCTCCGAGTCTGCCCTGCAGTAAAGGACAGATGTTAAATGCAGAGCCTGAAAACAAAAGTCCTGAGGACAAGAATGACCATTCCAGAGAATGCAGCCAGCCTGAAGTGCTAAAGGAAGATTCCCTGACGGGTCGCCGCAGGATCGAACGCATTTCTATTGCCCTTGACGAGCTGAGAAGTGTGTTTGAGGCCCCTAAATTTGGACACAGAACAGCTAGACCACCTGAATACAGCCAAAAGGTAAAAAGTTGTTGATTGAAAGTCTAGGTTTATAGTTGACAAGTTGGCTGATTGGCAAGCATACTATTTTATTCTAATATGTAATGTTTTTCCCCCTCACCTATATTCTAGCACATATCTGGAGATAATCACGTAATTCAGTGCAAAGATTCAGCATCTTTTATTATTGTCTTCTTGTATTATCTGTGCCAGTGGGGACTTGACCTTCTTTCACTCCCATGAAAGCAATTCTGAAATGTTCTTTTATAACAATGTTACTTTATGTTTGGGCTCTGTTTCCACAACTAAGTTGTAAGTTCCTCAGAGGCAAGGACCATCTCTAACCACTGTTTATATCTTCAACATGCAGCAAGAGCTACTTTAGCCAGAGTTCAGCCTGAATGGTAGGGAAGTGTCTTGTTTCTTATTTTTTTCCCTCTCTTTTCCCTCTAGGGTTTTGATCACTTTAGTCTATGTCTATAAATTGATAATATATAAACAGAAAAAAGTAACAATTAAAATTTATCATATGCCTAAGTAAGGGAATTATAAACACAGTTGGAATGAGACTCAAAATCGAGCAAGAGAGTTAAAGTTTAAAGATTATCTGACAATAGAAAGAAATAGAGCTGGGTTATAGCCTAGCTACACAAGCACCTGTCTAGCAAGTGCAAGATCCTGCATTCGATTCCTGGTGCCCAAGAAAGAAAGGAAGAAAGAAAGAAAGGAAGAAAGAAAGAAAGAAAGAAAGAAAGAAAGAAAGAAAGAAAGAAAGAAAGAAAGAAAGAAAGAAAGAAAAATAGAGAACTGAAACTGCTGAAGGATCGGTAGCAACAAGCTATGGGAGGTTGAGAAAAGTGATGCAGGGGCTGGGGATTTAGCTCAGCGGCAAAAGTGCCTGCCTGGCAAGTGCAAGGTCGTGAGTTCGGTTCCCGGTACCGGAGAAAAACCAAAAAAAAAAAAAAAAAGTGATGCAAGCTGAGGAAACTTGTCATACTATACTGACAGTTTCCTGTATAACAGTCATCAGAACACCACCACCGCTCATCTCCACTGTGGTTATCTTTCTGGCCGAATGTCAGAACCCCAATCTATACTTCCTGTGCAAAAGATCTTTCCTAGGCAGGTAGGGAAAAATCATCTAGTGAAACTCTGCCTACATCTGCTGTTTACTAGTATAGACTGAATTTGTTTCTACTAAAGTATAGCAGACTAGAGGCATTCAGCACTTACAGGTTGTTCCTGGAGGTTGAACCAAATCAGCAGGCACTTGACTGCTTGACAAGTTATAGAGGCCATCTGAAAGAGCTGGAGACCAAAGTGAGAGTCAGCAACTAAGGTCCAGGGATATAGGTCAGCACACAGAAGTGCCTGCCTGGCAAGCACAATGTCCTGAGTTCGATTCCTGGAACACACACACACACACACACACACACACACAGAAAACCCAAAGCAATCAGGTGGAAGGCAGAACAGCAGTGCACTGGAAACTGAACCTGGCGCTTTGAATACACTGAGTAAATTCTTTGAAAGTAGGGTGTATTCATACCTTAAGCCACGTCATAGCAAGAAAACAGCTTGATTAAAAGGCCTGCACATAACAGTGGAAGATATATGTAACCCAACAGATGCAGAAATCTGAATATAGAAATGCAAGAAACAAATGAAAACAAGGCCGCGTGATGCATCCAAAACTTTATAGTCTTCCAATAATTGAATTTTTATGTATCAAAGGGGATGAAATTATGAATAGATGTTTCAAAAACTTGATTGCTAAAATATCCATGTTTGTAATAGCACCACCACTCATAATAGCTAAACCTTGAAAGCAGTTTACAGGCTCATCAAGAGATAAATGGATAGGTTCCAGGCATGGTGATGCACACCTGTAATCCCAGCACTCGGGAGCCTGAGGCAGGAGGATCATTGCGAGTTCAAGGCCAGCCTGGGCTGCAAAGTGAGTTCAAGACCAGCCTGAACTGCATGGTGAGACCCTGTCTCAAAAACAAACAAAAACAAGAGATAAATGGATAAAAAATGTGGTATGTACATACAGTGGGGTACTAGTGATGTAGTGGAAAGAAACTTCCAACCTGCTAGAAATCTGAGACAAGTTCATGTTCTCTAAAAATCAAAGAATGAATTTTAGGAACAACAGAGGTTAAGAGCAGTATATATTTCTTCAGGGAAAGAAATCTTCTGTCCAAGAGAGGCAGAAGGGGACCCAAGTGGGTTGCCAAGGAACCTGTCTTTTCTAGGGATTTTTATAGAGCAAATCCATGCCATAAGGCAGGTGCAAGGTGGGAAACATGGGAACTCACAAGGTGGGCATGAGGTGGGACAAAACTATGGTCAACCAGTAAGATTACGAGTGTAATTGCTCAGTTAGAATTGATTAAATCTGGATCAAATGGGAAAGGGAGTCACGTAGCAAGTGGGCATGAATACAGAATAGGGACTTTTCCTGTAGGAGGTGAATTAGTGACTCTCGCTGGCTTTCTCAAGCTGATAGAGACCCACTTAGAATATCAGTCTCTGACACTTATTCTTAGGGAGGATTGTAGGTACATTTATTTTATCTTTTGTCTTGAGGTCTGGCCCACAGCTGAAGGTGTCTGACTCTCCCACAGTTGCACGGTATCTTATCTTTTGCACTGGCTCCTTTCAAGGCCCTGACTGCCTATAATATTTCTACCTAACTCATTTGCCTACAACATTAGAGCAAAGAAAAACCTAGAACTGAAAGGATTTACTGTAGAATTTTACCAGATATTTGTAGAACTAATATTAATTCTCCTCAAACTACTCCATAGAATAGTAAGGGGATGAATGCTTCAAAATTAATTCTACAAAACCAATATCAACCTAATATCGAAAGTGGATAATGACACAATGAAAAAAAAACATACAGACCAATACTTTTGATTAACATAGATGCAAAAGTTCTCAATAACATATTTGCAAACCAAATTCAACAGGATATTAAAAAGATCATACAATATGATTCAATTGTTTTCATTTTAAGAATGCAAGGATGTTTCACCATACATAAATCAATAAATGTAATATACCACATAACTAGAATCAAAAATAAAAGTCACATGATCATCTTAACAGGTGCAGAAAAAGAATTTAACATCTATGCATAAAAAAGCTGTAAAGAAACTAGATATACAAGAATTTTACCTCAATATAATAAAGGCTAGACATGACATACCTAAGGCTAGCATCAGTCTATGGTGAAAATACTGAAGGCATTTTCTTTGAAATCAGGAATGAGACAACAGTGCCCACTGTCATTACTTCTGCTTATTACTTGAAATTTTAACTAATTAGTCAAGAGACAACAACAGAAGAGATTCAGATAGGAAGAGAGGCATAAACATCTGTATTTTCAATTATCTAATTCTATATGTGAAAAACCCTAAAGGATCCAAAAAAGGAATATTAGATCTATTAACAAATTCAGCTTGGTGAAATGATACAAACACAGCATTAAATAATCAATAGCTTTTCTATATACCAATAATCAACTGCTGATAATGATATCAGGAACACAATTCCATTGATAGTAACTGCAAAAAATCAAATTCTTAGGAGTAAACCTAGCCAAGAAGGTGAAAGACTCTTATGTTAAAACGTATACAACTCTGAAGAAAGAAATCGATGAAGACCCCAAATTGAATGAGATGGAAAAACTACCCAGGTTATTGCATCACCAGAAATAATATTGTTAAAATGGCCATATTAACCAAAGCCATTACATACTGAATGTAGTCCCCATCAAAATACCAATGATATTCTTCAAACAACTAAGAAACTAATCCTAAAATACCTACAGAAACACAAAAGACTCAGAATACCTAAAGCAATCCTGAGCAGAAATACCAATATCATGTCATAATACATGAAATTTGAATATACTAGAAATCCATAGTAACAAAAACTGCATAGAACTGACTTAAAAAAGACAGATCAGTAAAATAGAACAGAGAATACAAAAGCAAATCTTCATAACTAAAACAATCTCATTCTTGACAAATGTGCTAGATAATTGTACTATTTTCTATTGGTTTATGGAAAAGAAGAGTTAATTCTTCATTTTTTGATCAATTTTTCAGGTCCCTATCTGCTAATCTGAACAACTCTTTTGAAGATAACATTATGTAATATAACAACAATTATTAATTGCCTATGGTCTTGTTCTGAAATTTTGTATCATTTTTAATTTTTTAGAATTTTTTATTCTGTTTAAAATACCAAAAAAGGAGAAAACTTTAACAAATGATGCTAGGAAAACTGGATATTCATATGTTGAAGATTAAAACTAGACTCTTGTCTCAGCTATATAAAAATCACCCAAGTGGATCAAAGATCTGACTATAATACCTGAAACTTTGAAACTGCTAGAAGAAAATAGCTGAAAAAATTCAAGGCACAAGTACAGGCAATGATTTCCTGAATAGAACCACAAAGGCTCAGAAATAATAAGAACCAACAAATAGGATTATTTCAAATTAAAAGGCTTCAGCATAGCAAGGAAACAACAGTGTGAAGCGACAGCTTACAGAATGGGGGAGTCTTTTCCAGCTAGTCATCCAGTGGAGGACCAGAATATATAATGAATTCAAGCACTTCAACACCCCAATCAGTATATGGACAACTGAGTTGAGCAAACACTTCTCAAAAGAGGAAATACAAATGGCAAATAATTATATGCAACAATATTCAAACTGTTTAACCACTAGCCAAATGTGAATAAAAACTACACTAAGACTTCATCTTACCTAGTCAGACTAGCTATCATCAAGAACACAAAAAACCATCCAGGTGTGGTGGCACATGTATATAATTTCAGCATTCTGGGAGGCTGAGGCAGGAGGATTGTAAATTGAAGCCCAGCCTAGTCAATTTTCTGTTTCAGTGAAAACCTGCCTGTAAATAAAAAGTTAAAAAATGTTAGGGATGTAGCTCTGTCAGGAGGTCCTAGATTTAATCCCCTATACCCTATACATATATAT